AACGGAGTGACCGAAAGAGAGAAGGAGCCAATGAGGTCCCAGTGGGGTCACCTCCACCCACCTGGACCGCTCCCTGGCACTGTCAGGAGTGTGGGGGGTTTTGGGAGAAGAAGGCCTCTGTCCTCTTCCCCAGCTTCCAGGGCCCTGACCGCTGTGTGACCCCTGGGGGTGGGGACCTGTGCTCCCAGGAAGGAAGGTTACAGGCCTCTTATTGCCAGGAGGTAATAAAGTCATTTTGTGGTAATTAGAATCCTAACCAATTTAAGTCATTTTATAGCTCCCAAACAATTACCTGGTGATTCTTATCTCTCCAAGAATCCTGAGATGTTATTTGAAGGGGGTCATAAATTAAGAGCCTGGTTGGGGGATGGGGAGAGACAAGAGGAGACAAGGAAATGGCTGCCCTCGGTGACAGGAAAGAAGAAAACTGTAGGCACCCCATCAGTGTCCCTGCTCCCTTCATCAGCTGGGGACAAGGCAGGCCTGTCCTTATGGATTTAGTAGGAGGAAAACATTCTATCCCTAGAAGCTTCCTCTCCAGAATTGTGAAATCTCAGAGCCAGAAAGCCTACAGAAACATCCAGTCAAGTATCTCCAAAATTAGAAACGCTGTATATCTGTGGTTCATTAGATGCTTGTAGGTGTGGGGTGAAAAGCATTCCAAGGCCCAAGGGTGAATCCACCCAGGAAATCTGTAACCTGGGTCCCTCAGAGAGAATGGGAGAGCCCGTTGTGTCTCAAAGATTCTGGAAGATCTACAGAAAAGAGACCAAGATTTACAGGAAGGCTGAACTCAGTAAAACCTAGTGCGTCTCAGACTTTGACCAGTGAACGTTTTCACTCTCACAGGAAATCTATTAATAGCACCATAAACCTCTAGAAACATGAACCTATTTGCCCAAGTTTCCTTCTCGTTCTTGGGTGGAAAGACTGAGTGGGTGTCTGATCCATGACACTAGAGGACCCCAGTTAGGACAGGTAATTGCACACCGCAGTTGGCAGTCTGCCATCGGTGAATACCTTTGGAAGATAAAGGGGGGGGAGGGTACAACGTCCATTTTTATGCCTTACCTGAAAGGCCACATGAAGGGGGGGAAGGAAGGCAAAGGGAACTTTTTTTTTTTTTAATTTTTTTTTCAACATTTTTATTTATTTTTGGGACAGACAGAGACAGAGCATGAACGGGGGAGGGGCAGAGAGAGAGGGAGACACAGAATCGGAAACAGGCCCCAGGCTCCGAGCCATCAGCCCAGAGCCCGACGCGGGGCTCGAACTCCCGGACCGCGAGATCGTGACCTGGCTGAAGTCGGACGCTTAACCAACTGCGCCACCCAGGTGGCCCCAAAGGGAACCTTTTGACAAACCAAAAACGGGGCCACCAACTAAAGCTCATCTCCAAAGGTGATAGGAAGAGATTTGTTCTGTGGGTTCCAAAGGGGCAGAACTAATCCAGTTAAAGAAGGAACTTTCTAACAGTCAAAGTCACAGAAAGCAGAGCAGATGGCCTCAAGAAGGAATGAGCTCCCTGACAGCACATGTGTCTGAGCCAAAACTCATCAGAGCGTAGTATTCATTCAATTAGTAAATATTTGCAAACTTATATCGTTCAAAGTACTATCTGAAGGTAGAAAAACAATAGCGAGCAAGTTAAACTTCCTTCTGTACTGAAGTTTATATTCTGAGGAGGAGGAAAGACAGATAAGAACTGAATAAGCAAAAATAAACATACTAATTTCAGAGAACTACAAAGATTTTAAGTGCGTGATACGATAGTAACAGGACAGGGGCAAATGAGTTAGGATGACCGTGTGAGGCCTCTATGGGATCAAGACACTTGAACTGAGGCCTAAGCAATGGGACAAAGGCAGCTCTGAGAAGATCAGGGGCACTGCCCTGTGCATACAGCTCAGCAAGTTCAAAGGCTCTGCAGTGAGAATAGTCTGGACATGTTCTTAGGACACAAGGAAGGCCAGAGTGGTGGCCCATGGTGGGTGGTGCAGGAGAACACTGTGGACGGGAGCAGAAAGGGACTGCATATTCTAGCATCCAGTGACCTACAAGCCCGTGCACCCTTGTGGTTCTGGGAATCCATGACAACCCCCCTGACTGAGTAGAAAGAGATCACAGGATCTCTCTCCCTTGACAAATGTCAACAATCTCAGGCTCGGCCTTAGTTCCCTTATCGGATAATTGAAAGCCAGACCTACTTTGCAAAGATGCTACTTGGATCAGTGACTACATATTTATCTATTAAACACAGATACAGTACTATGTGCCATCATAAACACTTTATAAACATTACTCATTGATCCCTCCTAACAGCCTTTAGGAGGTAGACCCTGTTAGTATTCTCACTTTGTCGATGGGAAACTGAGGCACAGAGAGACCACCAGCACCTCTGATGCATAGTAGATGTTAAGTACACCTTAGCTACCATATGCATAGATTAAAAGTTTCAGGGGATGCAAATAAAACATCCTCTATGATCTCTGTGTTCCCTTGCCCCATTTTCAAAGCTCTCAAAAGGAAGAATCTACACATCTTTGCAAATTCTCAGTAGGAAATTACCCAAGTGAATCACACAGGACTGATATATACAACCCACCTCTAAAGCATGAGGGTAATCAGGAGTCTGGCAATCATCCCTATTAAAATTCCAATGGCATATTTCACAGAAATAGAAAATGATCCCAAAATTTCTACAGAACCACACACACACACAAAAAAAAACCAACTAGCCAAAGCAATCCTGACAAAGAAGAACAAAGCTGGAAACATCACGTGACCTGATTTTTAACTGTATCACAAAGCTATAGTAATCAAAATAGTGTGGACTGGCATAAAAACAGACACATAGACCAGTGGAACAGAAATAAAAACCCTCACATATGTGGTCAACTCTTACAAGGCTGCCAAGAATACACAATGGAGAAAGGATAGTCTCTTCAATAAATAGTGTTGGGAAAATTTGATATCTACATGCAAAAGAATTTTCATCCAGCCCTTATCTTACACCACTCACAAACATGAACTCAAAATGGATTAAAGGTTTAAATGTGGGGCGCCTGGGTGGCGCAGTCGGTTAAGCGTCCGACTTCAGCCAGGTCACGATCTCGCGGTCCGTGAGTTCGAGCCCCGCGTCGGGCTCTGGGCTGATGGCTCGGAGCCTGGAGCCTGTTTCCGATTCTGTGTCTCCCTCTCTCTCTGCCCCTCGCCCGTTCATGCTCTGTCTCTCTCTGTCCCAAAAATAAATAAATGTTGAAAAAAAATTTAAAAAAAATTTAAAAATTAACAAATGGGCCAGTTAAAAAATGGGCAAGGGACAATAGACACTTTTCCAAAGAAGACAGACCAGAGTAGACGGCCCAGCACATGAAAAGGTGCTTAACATTGTCAGGGAGATGCAAAGCAAAACCACGATGAGACACCACCTCTCATCTGCTAGCACGGCTGTCATCAAAATGACAACAGATAGCAAATATTGGCGAGAGTGTGGAGGAAAGGGAATCCTTGCACACTGTCGGTGGAAATGCAAATCGATGCAACCAGTGTGGAAAACAGTACGAAGGTTCCTCAAAAAATTACAAATAGAGAACAGCATGGATGGACCTGGAGAGCAGAATGCTAAGTGAATGTCAGTCAGAGAAAGACAAATACCATATGTGGAATCTAAAAATCAAAACAAACAAACCAACAAAAAACAGAAACAGACGCAGAAATAGAGAACAAACGGGTGGTCACCAGAGGGGAAGGATGGGGGACGGACAAAATAGGTGAAGGGGATTAGGAAGCAACAAACTTTCAGTTATAAAATAGACAAGTCACAGAGACAAAAAGTAAAGCATCGGGAATACAGTCAATAAGGTGGTAACAGGGGAGCCTGGGTGGTTTAGTTGGTTGAGCGGCTCAGGTCATGATCTCACAGTTCGTGAGGCTTAACCAACTGAGCCACCCAGGCGCCCCTAAACAAGTAAACTTTAAAAGAAAAAAAGATGAATAAGTACTGTGGATCTTATGTACAGCGTGGTGACTATAGTTGATGACACTTTTAGTCTCGAAATTTGCGAAGAGAGTAAATTCTAAGTGTTCTCACCACACACACCCCCCAAAAGTAACTGTGTGCGGTGATAGATGTATGAATTAGTTTGACTCTGGTAATCGCTACACGATGTATATCACACCACCATGTTGCACACACCCAACACATACAATTTTTATTTGTCGATTATACCTGAATAAAACCGAGGGAAAACATCTTGCAGTCAAGGGAGAAGGTACCACTGTGTAGAGTTACACAGGCTGTTCACAAGCTAGAGGACTCCAAGGGGACTTGTATTTGTTTAGCCTTCAGGCCATTCATTCTCATCACACCCTTAGAGGGTCAGATTAAAATCCACAACTGTATAAACTGGGGGAAATGAGGCTCAAGTAAAAGTCGATGGTCACCCACAGGAAGTAGAAGAACTTGACACTCCAAAGGGCTTTCCTGTGACCCCACACCACACTGACGCTGCAGGGGCTTGAGGGGATGGACGTCTATCTAACCTTCAAGAGATTTCCTTATGAGGGGTTCTTGGACCTGGGATAGACTACTTTCTGGTCATGAAAACCAAGCAGTATAAACTGTGGCCCGACAGAAAGACAAATAAGTCCGGGTTCCCTCCTATGTGAAAAAAAGTTATCTTTCCTACAGAATGTATGTTTCACACATTTTACCATGTTAAAAAGTTTATTTATTTTGAGAGAGAGAGAGAGAGAGAAAGCATAAGCAGGGAAGGGGCAGAGAGAGAGAGAGGGAGGGAGGCAGGGAGACAGAGAGAGAAAGAGAGAGAGAATCCCAAGCAGGTTCCATTGCTCTCAGCGCAAAGCCCGGTGCAGGGCTCAAACTCACAAACCATGAAATCACTACCTGAGCTGAAATCAAGAGTCAAACACTCAAACAAATGAGCCACCCAGACCCCCCTACCATGTTACAAAGTGCCTAAAGGATTCCGAAAAGATCTTGTAAAGCAAACAAGGATATTATTTAATACATTTCCATTTAACTTTAACTGCAATTTATTCAGAACTCTAACCTTTTGTGAACTTCTGACTCAGACTATTTCCTTATTGTACACCCACGACACCCTGTGGGCATGGGCGTCTATATTTTCAGTTAAACTCTACCCCCGATGTAGCATTTCCCTCCATTAGGCCTGCAGACAACAAATCACACAGCGCTGTATTCACACTACGCATGACGTTGTCCCCACAGTTGTCCCCACAGACGGTTTCCCTCTCTCTCCCTACGGTTGTTGCAAATATTTCAAAATATTTAGCGTGCTGGTAAGAAGTGCACGTAGGTACTATAGCATCACACACATTTTACTATTTTGATAGCTGAACTTCAATATAATCAGTTTCCTTTCGAATCCCCTGTATTTCAGTTCATCCATTCTGAAAGCATTGTTCGGCGAAGGGACCCACAGCATCACCAGACCAGTGGCTCCAGAAAGGCAAGGACCTCCCCTACGGGCCGCCTTGTCTTCCGGCAGGAGCGTCCATCGCTGGAGACCACGGAAGCCTTTCTTCACTCTGCAGCTCACTCAGAGCTCCAGCGTCTCCCCAACATCCGTCCCGCCTCGCCTCTCATTCATGCTGCAGGAAATCGCAGCCTCAGTGTGCTTGCCTGCTGCCCACAGCATTAACGTCTGCCACCCAGAGCTTTCCCCAATCACACCTGCTCTGCCCCGGGCGCAGGGAAAGCCCCCCACCTCTCTGGCCTTCAGAGGGAAGCTGTCTGTAGCTAGAGTGCTGATAAACTGAAAAGTTACACCCAGAGCCAGGATCAGGCTGTGTCTGCAGAGTCCCTCAGAAGCAATGAACACAGCTCGCAAACTCCCTCTGATGCCAACGGCATTCTGCTAACGGGCTCAGGTTCCCTTCCAAGGAAGCCGAAAATGCCGCCCCAAATATTTTCCAACGAGTCTAAAGCCGGGACTGAAGGACGTTCCATCACCTTTAGTGAAACCTCCCCTCCTTGAATGACCTGACCCGGATCTTCAAGCACACCGCCCTCCGGGGGAAACGTGGGGTGATGCTTTGCCACCTGGGTGCTCAATGAGGACTGGAGGGTCCCACATTTCGGGTTGCATGTGGGGGCACCACGGAGCCATTCTGCTCTCCAGGTGGCCGGCCATCTGCTGTTCATTCACCAGGGTGTTTGCAAAGCCTTCTGCAAAGGTGAAGCCCAGGGCCGGGGACAGAAGATCCCGGGCTAGCCATGGGGAGATTCTGGATTCAAGCCCAAATTTCCCTTGCCTGCTGGATGCATCTGGACAGCGGCTCCCCACATCCCTGGGCCTCACAGTTCCCATGTGTAGAACGAGAAAGGAAGATGGGGTATTTCCTCTCTTTGAGGCTTTGGGTACCGACATCAAAACCAGAGTCCCTTCAAGGGGGGGGGGGGAATGGCAGTGCTGTCCACAGCCAGCGCTGCCGAACCCAGAGCCCCCTGCCATGAGAAGGACCCCCTTCCTGGAGGCAGGAGGCCCAGGGGTGTTCAGCCAACAGTCCAGGAAGTGCAGGGGACCCAGGGCTATGCTCGGGGACAGGGCTGCCCATCGCTGGGTCTTAACCTTCCTTACATACTTCTTTCTGGGTCCCACGGGGTCACGGCCGTGCTGACCGGGGTGAGGAAGGCTGGCCCTGGGGCCCTCTGGGAGCGGCGCGTGGGCCACAGTGCATGCCATCCCTGCCTCCCCCGGGGGGATCCCGAGTGGGCGTGCAGAAAACAGGGTGGGGACTCATTGCCCCGAAAAGTCTCTCGGGCCAACCCTTGGTTCGCAGCAGGGGGCTAGGGGGGCAGAGAGGCGAAGGTCCTCGCTCAGGGGCACACAGTAGTGTCAAGAGAGCTAGGATGTGGTCTCTCTCCCCATTTTTACTTATTTCGTTGTTGGTTTTTTTCATGACAAAAGGACGACACGTTTGCTGCATGACGCAGGCAACACAGAGGTGATGTATGAAGACAATCATCTCCTCTCGCTCTCGCCCCTCAACCCGCACCCTACGCGTGGTGAGCCTGTGCTCCTCCATGGGACCCCCCAGGGCGAGGGCAAAGCCACCTGCACCTGCTCACCTGGTCCCAAAAGGCACAGGAGGGGAGCTGACACTCCGGAGCTGATGGGGGCCGCCTCCCGGCTGTATTCAGAAGGCGTCTCTCCTTGGCCCCACCGACCTGGAAGAGAAAGGGGCTGTCAACCTTTTTTCCCCAAGGTGGATGCCAGTGCAGATTTCTGGAAAGGGGTCTTAAAAAACAAGACCCTTAAGGGGCGCCTGGGTGGCTCAGTCGGTTAAGAGTCCGACTTCAGCTCAGGTCGTGATCTCACGGTTTGTGAGTTCGAGCCCCACATCAGGCTCTGTGCTGACAGCTCAGAGCCTGGAGCCTGCTTTGGATTCTGTGTCCCCCTCTCTCTCTGCCTCTCCCCTGCTTGTTCTCTCTCTCTTTCTCCCTCTCTCAAAAATAAATAAACATTTTTTTAAAAGCCCTTAGCACTTGTTGGGAGGAGCACTGGGTGTTGTATGGAAGCCAATTTGACAATAAATTATATTAAAATTAATTAATTAATTAAAATAAAATAAGATGTTGATGATTGAAAGGATAAAGAGACACCCCCAGAGTCTATAGCTCATCTATCTCACACAGTGAAACACTGCCAACAAGATTATTTTGTGTTCATAATACGACCACTTCTCCCTCTTGTTGGATATTATCTCCTCTTTGAGATGCTTTGTAATAAATGCCAGTATATACTCTCTTCCAATGCTCGCATCACTCGAGGATGAGTTTTGTTTCTGATACAGCAAAATGGATTGAGCCTAGCCTAGTAACAATATATGTATGATACAAGTCAATTATTTGGGTTTGTACCATTTTTGGTACTGGCTTCAAGATAATGACTTTTTGCTATATAATTTTATTGTAATGACTTTCAATCTCTGCTAATCACATTACTAAACTAAAATTGTGAGTAAATAAAAACTTTTATAAATTCCAAAAATAAAATAAAATAAAATAAAATAAAATAAAATAAAATAAAATAAAGGCCTTTGTATGCCCCAGGAAAGGCCATCCTTCCTGGCCACCTGCCTTCACCCAGCTTCCAACTTCATCACCTCTAGCCTTGTGGTTGGTCTCCCAGCTTCCAGAACCACCCACTCAGTACCTTTCTACAGCACTACTGGAGTGAGCCTCCAAATCCACAACTGCTGAAAACCTTCCAGTGCCTCTGCGACCCCAGTATTTGCCAAGATATCCAGGCAGAAGGTCCAGAACCCACCCCCCCACCAACCCTTTGTGATCTGCCCCCAGAAGACCTCACCAGCCTCACCTCTACTGAAACTTCCCACTCACTATTTCCTTCCATCCCCTTGCAATTACTTGTAGTTCTTGGAAGAGATTATGCATTTTTTTAACCAAACTTTCTGTTTGGGGAGACTTGTATGTTCACGTGTAGCTGTAAGGAATCACAGAGAGCCAGCTCAGGTACCCTTTACCTGGCTTTTCCGATGGAATCTGGAAAAGTTACAAAATCACCACCAGGATACTGACATGGACACAGCCAAGATACAGAACATTCCCAAAAGGGAATCTCTCAGGTGGCCCTTTCATAGCCATACCCGTCCCTCCCGCCCTCTCTCCATCCCTAACCCCTGGCAAGCACTCATCTGCTCTCCCTCCTATAATTCTGTCCTCTCAGTAATTTATATGAGTGGGATCCCACAGCCTTTGCCTGTTGGGGTTGGCCGTGTTCACTCACAGTGGTTTTCCTGAGATCCATCTAAAGCTGGGGCGTGTGCCGGGGGTCTGCTCCTTTTGTCGCTTGCTGGGTTCTGTTCCCTGGTATGGATGGATGCACCATGGTTTGCTTGCTGACTTGCCCACTGCAAAACAACATTTGGGTCGTTTCCATGTTGTGGCTATCGTGAATAATGATGCTGTAAATACCGGAGCACAGATCTGGCATGAACCCAAGTCTTTATTTCTCTGCAGGCCTGGGGAATGCTCGGCAATGCAATGGCTGGGTTGCATGGTCAGCTTTGCAGGAAACTCCCAAGCTGTTTTCCAGAACAGCTGGGCCATCTTATGTTTCTACCTGCAGCATACGAGCAATCCAGCTTCTCCACAACCTCACCAACCTTTAGTGTTGTCACTATTTTTCATTTTAGCCCTTCTGATAGGTAGTGTGAAATCTCCTTGTGGTCTTTGTTTGCATTTCCCAGATGGCTAACGACATGGAATATCTTTCCCTGTGCTTGCCATCGTCCGTGTATCTTCTCTGGGGAAACCTCTTCACCTATTCCAGTTGTGTTCTTTCTTTTTTTAATTTTATGTATTTAAATGCAAGTTAGTTAACATACAGTGTAGTATTGGTTTCAGGTTAGAACCCAGTGATTCATCACTTAATATGACACCCAGGGCTCATCCCAACAGGTGCCCTCCTTAATGCCCATCACCCGTTTAGCCCATCCCCCACCCACCTCCTCCACCAACCCTCAGTTTGTTCTCTGTATTTAAGAGTCTCTTATGGTTTGCCTCCCTCTCGGTTAGTAACTTATTTTTCCTTCCCTTCTCCTATGTTCGTCTTGTTTCTTAAATTGCACATGAGTGAAATCATGTGGTATCTTTCTCCGACTGACTTATTTCATTTAGCATAGTACACTCTAGTTCCATCCATGTTGTTGCTAATGGTAAGAGTTCATTCTTTTCCGTCGCTGAGTAATGTTCCCTTGTAGATACGTACACACCACATCTTCTTTGTCCATTCATCGATCGATGGGCATTTGGGCTCTTTCCGTAATTGGGCTATTGTTGATAGCACTTTTATGAACATGGGGGTGCGCGTGCCCCTTAGAATCAGCATTTTTGTATCCTCTGGATAAATCCCTAGTAGTGCAATTTCTTTGCCAGGGTGGCTGCCCCAGTCTGCATTCCCACCAACACTGCAAAAGCGTTCCCTTTATTCCGCATCCTCACCAATATCTATTGTTTTCTGACTTGTTAACGTTAGCCATTCTGACAGCTGTGAAGTGCTGTCTCATTGTGGTTTTGATTTGTATTTCTCTGATGACGAGTTCAGTCATGTTCTAATTGAATTGCTTGAGTTTTTTTTTTTTTTTTTTT